AGGCTTTGCCTGTACGGATTGAAGACCATGAGACGAAGCAGTTGTGAGGAAAGGAGATTGCTCTCGTGAAGGTAGTGTGGGGAGGCGTTGTTGCTGGAAATATGAATTGGGAGTTGGAGAGCATGATGCTTGAGGCCTATCCTGAGTTGTTTGTATCAGGTAAATTTTCGAGGACAAAAATATTCTAAGTGGGGAAGAGTTGTAACGCCTCGTTTTATTTTAATTATTTTTCGTAATTAAAATGTTATGATGTTGTGTATGTGTATGTGATTATGTGCGTTTTGTTGTGGTTGGGAATACCTTTGGTATGAGATAGTGACCTTAAGACTAGACCTTGAGGAAGGTGTTGGAGGTGTGTGAGCAATTGTGTAGAACTTGGTGGTGTGGAGAGTAAAACTAATTAAATTATATTAGTAATATTTAGTTAATTATAATATTAGTTGAATAATATTAACTTAATTAAATATTGATTATTATTATTATTATTATTATTATTATTATTATTATTATTATTATTTTAATAAGAGGATATTAGTAATAATAATGATATTATAATAATAGAAAAAGGGGATTGCGTGAGAAAAAACTATTAGATCGTGTTTTCGGAGAGAAAGTTGAGAAGATGAGAGCTAGGACAAGAGAGAAGAGAAGAAAGGATTATCATTGTTGAATCTCTTGTTGGAACTCTAAGGTAAGGGTGAGATTCTAATTATCTAAGGGTGATCATGATGAATGGTGGGTAGATTATACCATGTAGGGTTTGTGTATTCTTATCTATCTATCTATCTATGATTTTAATGAATTGATGATTGTATGATGTATGAAATTATTGATAAATGATGCATAATGCGTTGATGTTGCTACTATAACTGGTGTTAGAATGATGCATTGATGATATTGTTGTTGTTGGAATCATGTAATTGATTGGATTATATGTTGTTGATGTTGTTATGAGTCAAAGTCGAAACTCAAAGTTATGAGTATTTTTGTGAAAAGAGTTGAAATTTTGATGTTTAGAAAAGTGATTTTTAGGGTAAAAATATGTGTTAATCGAATGGTATAAAAATAGGGTTTTGGGGTTGATTTAAAAGTGATTTTGGTTTTCAAAAGTTGCAGAAAAGTGCTTCTATCAATAGTGTAGTCGGTTACCTTGATTATGGTAACCGATTACACTGCTTAAAACTGCATTTTTGGGCTTTCTGACATGGTGTAACCGGTTACCCTGATTACGCTAACCCGTTACACTGTGTTATTTTGCATGGTGTGACTGGTTACAAGGGGTGTAACCGGTTACTCTGATTATGGTAACCGGTTACACTGGGAACATTTTTGGAATTTTTTTGAAAATTCATAACTTTAATTCCGAGTGCCTTTTGAAGCGTTGGAAAGCTAACGCAATGAACTATCTTATAAAAATGGTTTTTGTACCATAAGGTGATTAATTTGGTGTTTTTGGGCTCTTAATGTATTGTAAGGTTTATGTGGTGGTGTGACATAATGTTTAATGCAATTGTTATTGTTTGCTATGTTGTATGATGATGATGTTGAGCTGTTATAGAGGTTTTGTTACATGGTGGCTAGTATTGGCAGTGTACATTGACCATGCTGGTGGGTCATTGTGCATGATGTTGTTGTTGCACGTATAATATGTTTCATGAATTATTGCTATAGTGCTATTTTTGAGTGTTTGTAGTATATGTCGGTGGTTGGTGACCATTTTTGGCGTGGTATAATGATTAAGGTGAATATCATTGTATGTTGCATTGTTCTTGTTGTTGTTGTTGATTACTATATTATTATATTGTTGTTGTTGAACTGTTATAACATGTATTTTGAGTGTGATGGCCAGTATTGACATAGTACATGACTATGGAGGTGTTGGTCATTGTACTTGATGTTACTGTTGCATGAATAATACGTTACATGCATTCATGATGTTGGGACATTAATTCGTTGTTGTGAGCATCAATCCTAGGAAGTGAGGATTGTATGTCGGTAGCTGATTTCGGGGATGAATGGAATCAGTGAGATATTATTAATGATGACGATGATAACGAATTGTGAGCTCGATATCCTAAGAGGTGAGGTGGGGAGCCGGTGAATTTAAGTGTTCACGTATTAAAATTCTGACGGGAATTGTGATTCTGAAAAGGGATCGGATTCTGAAATAGGAACCGAATGGTACCACATACATTGAGTCTGGTTATGGGTCTCATTGCATTGCATATTGGTTGCATCTGTTGTTCTGTTGGATGTTGTAGTTGTATGTTGGATGTTGTTGTTACATGTTGTAGTTGTATGTTGGATGATGTTGTTGTTTGTTGGATGTTGTTGTTGTATGTCAGATGATTATTGTTGTTGTCGTGTTGTATGGTTGTTGTGTTGGTTGTGTGGAATGACTAATGTGCATGAAATAATTTATTGCTCACTTATATTCATGCTTTCCTTTATATAATTATGTTGAATGTTGTCTTTTCATGGGCATCGTGCATATAACTTGCAGTAGAGGAGTTGATGTGAGTAGAGGTTGGAGTCTTCCAATCTTTTTAAGTGTCGACATCTGCTCTGATGTGTAACACCGGACTCTTGGAACGTTTCCCATTTTATGCTTGTTGGAGATTTTTGGGTATCTCCTTTGTGTGGTTATTTACAATCTTTTTAAAAACATAATATTATTTTGAATAATTGTCTTAATGCTGAATTTTTCCGTTGTTTCATAAAATTTACAATCTCTCATTATCGTTATTACTGTTAATAATTTTAAAAGTAGTAGGTGTTGCATATCTATTTATATGAGCATGTTTTTGTTGAAACGTGACATCCTAAATATTACTTTTGTGGATAATTACTCTGATTTTATTTAATTATGCGCGGGAGTTATTCAAGGTGTTACAATGTGTTGATGCAGAATGGTCAGGTTGTGACTTATACTTCTAGGAAGTTTAAAATTCATGAGAGGAATTATCCCACACATGATCTAGAGTTGGTAGCTTTAGTGTTTATGTTAAAAATTTAGAGACATTATCTGTTTGGTTCTAGATTTGAAGTGTTCAATGAGCACAAGAATTTGAAGTACTTATTCGATAAAGAAAAGTTGAATATAAGGCAAAGGAGGTGACTCGAATTTATGAAGGGTTATGATTTTGATTTGAATTACCATCTAGGTAAAGCCAATGACGTAGCCGATACTTTGAGCAGAAACTCGTTGCATATGTCAATGCTTATGGTTCGAGAATTTGAGTTAATCAAGCAATTCAAAGACCTGAGTATGTTGAATGAAAGGACTCCTAATAGTGTGAAGTTGGGTATGTTGAAGCTGACTAGTCGTATTTTCGAGAAAAAAATCAGAGAAGGTCAAAAATCAGATTCAGGATTGATTGACTGACTAGTGTTAATCAATCAAGGTAAAATAGATGATTTTGGAATAGATGAAAACGGTGTTATGCATTTCCGTGACAAAGTTTGTGTACCTGATGTGCCAAAACTTAAGAAAAGTATTCTTGAATAAGGACACATAAGTAGTCTGAGTATACATCCCGGTACTTCTGAAACGTATCAAGACTTGAAGAAAATATTTTGGTGGCCAAGAATGAAGAAGGATATAACCGAGCTCGTTTATGCGTGTTTGATGCAACCATTGGATATTCCCGAATAGAAGCGAGATGATATTTTCATGGAGTTTGTGACGAGTTTGCCTAAGACTTCTAAAGGGAATGATTCAGTTTGGGTTATAGTAGATAAATTGACTGGCTCATTTCATTCTGATTAAGATAAGTTACTCATTGCAGAAGTTAGCTGACGTGTATATTGAGAAGGTTGTTAACTTGCATGGTATTCCTTCAAGTATTGTTTATGATAGAGATCCAAGATTCACATCGAGGTTCTGGGTGATTTTGCAGGAAGCCATTGGTACTAAGTTGTAGTTGAATTTTGCTTATCATCCGGAAACTGATGGTCAGATAGAGAGGACTATAAAGTTTTTGGAGGATTTGCTTAGAACTTTTGTTTTGGAGCTAAGAGGTAACTAGGATAGTTACTTATCGTTGGTTGAGTTCCCTTACAACAACAATTTTCATTCTAGTATTGGGATGACATCGTTTAAGGTTTTGTGTGGTAGGTGTATGACACCTTTGTGTTGGTATGATTCAGATGAAAGTGTTGTGCTTCGACCTGAGATTGTTCAGCAGATTACTGAGAAGATCAAGATGATCCAAGAGAAAATGAAGGTTTCACAGAGTCGCCAAAATATGAAAGTGTTGTGTTTCGAAAATTTTTACTTTTTATCAAAAAATTTAAAATTTCCGATAAAAAATTAGAATTTTCTACGAAAATTTGTTTCAAGAGCAATTTAAGGTGACAAGATAATTTCTTAGATATTTATAACAGTTGAAATCCAACAAATCCAAAACACAACCCATTAACTAACAAATCCACGAACAAAAATGACCAAACACGATACTACAAACCTCCGCCCAGACCCAATTCATTGTCCAATGTGTCTGACTGAACCCCACCGCGGTTCCGTTGTCCTTCCCGGCCTTTTTGCTACTTTTCAGCTTTTTGAAATTTCAGCTTCTAAGTTTCAAAATAGAATTTCCTTCATTTATCATTTAAGATTTTAACACTTAAAGATATTTTAAGACATACTTCACCATCCAATACAAATAAAATTCCAATAAAATATTGAGTATGTAGAATGAGAAATCCCCCGAGTATGAGAAAAATTAAGACTTAAAAGAGAGAACTCAATATCTATGTAATTATAATTTTAAATATCGTTAACCATATGCTTTGGAGTGTTTAATTTTTGAAGTGTACATATATCATTTCTCTTCACAGTATTACCACAGATGTGCCTGTTATGAACTTAATATGTATCACATACATATACAGATGCTCCAAACTCCTCTTGGTACTAATAGTTACTGGCTTTGTTTTTGTAGAACTTCACTGTATATATGCATAACCAAAATGCACATCAATAGCTAATGAAACACATTTCAGCGAAAGGCGTGGTTGTAGTCATGATAACGGAAGTTTTTGTATATGAAGTGAGCTAACAACCGCGACAGCGCAAATGAAAGTACTGCCAGCACAACCATTGAATTTCTTGTTGCAGCTGAAACCATACCCTGCTTCATTATGGCAACAATCCCAATTGAAGCAACAGATATGATCTGCAACATCACTTCCACCACATTGAGGCTCTTATATGCCAAATTGCAACTCTTACAATTCACCACATGGCTCCAGTATCTGTCCATAAGCTGTTCTCTAGGAGGTGTAGGAGGAAGAGCGCCACTATATTTTCCTCTCCATTCAACTTCACCGCCTGCATATTTCTTTAACCACTTTCTAAAACCAATCACAAGAGCATCGGCTTTTGTTGGCACAAAACAGGCCTTATGCCAATTTGCTTGACCAACATCCATTATTTTCTTTTCCTGTCAAAATAATTTAGTAACATTATATGTAGAATCAAAATACTAAATGGTTTTCTAGGGGTATGTTAATGTTACTTTTGCACTGCTGAATCTTACAAAAGGAATTACCTCAACATGCAGAAGATATAAATCTGAATCTAGAATCAAGTTTTGTCCAACATGAAACATCCATCGCGGTACAATTTTGTCAATCCACAGTCCAAAGTTTCTTGGGAAGCACCAAATCAGTCTGCTATTACCCGGACTAACAGGAACACAAATAAAGATCAAAGAAAATTTCCTCTGAACCGATGATTTCTGCATAGAAATATATTATGTAACACCTATTTTAAACCGAACGTCGTGACATAAGGATCGTAATAGCTACTCAATTTGTTACCTTAGATTCATCCGGAGACGCAGGTTTATCTGGATCATTATATGCATAAAAGATGCTTGGTGGCATAAATTTACTTTTGCTCCAACCCTGATTTGCAGTGAAACCATTGATATCTAACTTTTCAATTGACAATTCAAGTGGTCTTCCTCCTTCTCTATCAGCTTTCACTGTTAAGTTAATTAAGGCCTAAGTATATGATTGACATATATAAAACAAATAGGAACTTGCTGAAGTTAAAAGATTTATATCATATACCTTTTGGTTGTGGAGTTTTCATTAATCCATAATGTGCATATGGAACATGCGAAGGGTCCATGAGGTTTTCAATCAATACTTCATACCTGTAGTTGCATATTCAATTAATTCGAAAAAATATACTAAGCCTATAATATGTTATTTTCATCTTCCAAAATCAGGTCAAATAATGCTAAGTATCATACTTTTAATAGTCTTAAAATCTTACCCGTAAGCAATATCTCGGTTTCCCATTAAGCTAGTAAAGGATGGATCATCGATTTCTGGCATGAATGGTGGCTTTTTTCTTGTAATAATATCTTTGTATTGAGGATCAGTATTCGGCCAAAACCACAAGATATCATTCTGCACAATGCTTGGGTAAGCAGCTACACATGCTTTCTTGGATGTATGAATCTGCAATTTTGTTTATGGAAAAGTAAATGAGGATGACAAGATAACAAAACAAACGACGGAAGAACAAACATCCTGCAACACATCTAAATTCCGAAGTTCCGATTGATCTTAAAACTCAACCACTTTTGTTCAATGTACTTGATAGTAGTCAAGTTTGTTCTTTTTCTATACCCATCCAAACATAAATCACTTTACACTCAACTTACTTTTTCAGACACACACCTAAACATAAACCATTTTACATTGACTTACTTTAACTAAAATCAATTTTATAAGAACCAAACATGCACTACTAAGTACTAATCATAATGATGATGATGATGATGAAGATAGAGTAATAGTTACCGGAGGTCCATCGAGAGGTGCCTGAGGAATGAACTTGCAATCGCCGGATCCATTAAAACACCAACCATGATACACACACTGCAACCTACCCCATTGATCAATCCTTCCTTCAGACAAAGGTGCCAATCTATGAGGACACGCATCATCAAACACTTGCCATGCACCTTCATTCCTATCCCACCACACAACCACATCAATCCCCATAACCTTCTTCCCATGAGGTGCCCTTTTATCAAGATCACAAATTGGCATCAAAGGGTACCACTGTGAGTACCAATCAAATTTCTCAGAACCTGTTTCACCTTCTGCCTCATCATCCACTTGAAGATTACTCTTTTCATCTGTTAATGGAGAAGGTGATAAGGCAGTGAGAAGCTTGAATTTTGAATTGTTTTTGGTAAACAATGGAAGGGTTGAATGCAATTGTGAGTTGAAAAAGATGGATTTTTTGAATGGGGTTGGGGTTTCTAGAGGTGTTGGGATGTGAAGTGAAGTAACAGAGGAAGATAACATAGCTTCCATTGTTGTGTTGCGCAAAGATTAAGGAAGAAAGTGGTAACACATAGGATTGTCCAATGATTTGGTTTGAGAGGCTCACGTTTAATGTTTATGTGTTCGGTTTTACTATGAAATGAAACATGAGGCTCAGTTTTATCAACAAGAATGTGAGGGAAAAGTCCATGTTTTGATAATTTAACATATTCATTATTAGTTATGCATTTTGTATATTGGATCAATTTAACATATTCATTATTAAAATTAGAGTTTTTTTTTAAGTGTATGTAAATTTAGCATTTTCAATGCGAAAATTATTTTTAAATAAATTGATTTTAGATAAAGGTGAATTATATTGTAAAGAATTACATTTAAATTTAAAAATTATAAATCTTAACTTTAAATAGAATTAACTTTTACGACATAATTCATTTTATTTTAGAATAATCAAATATATCAAAGGTAATTACTTATTTTTCAAATTATTTTTAAATCTTTTAAAATAGAAGTTAGAGATTTGTCCCTGAAAGTCATTTGATGCAAGAGTAAAACATGTGGTTCAGTTTGGTTGGCTTTTAAAAATAAATCTAAATCAAACCAACGCAGTTTGGATTAGTTCAATTGATTCGGTTTTTTGCAAGATTATTATTGAGTTATACATATATACATATAGAGATCAACATAATTTTTTGTTTAATCATTCTTACATTATCAAATAACAACAAAATCTATCATATTTGAACAACAATTTCTTAATTAATAAACAAAAATTATATTAGATAACAGTGGAATAAAAAACATAAAACTCTAGCATAAAACAACATTAAAAAGATTATAATTAAACACAAAAACATAGGAGATAAGAGATCAAAGAGCATTAAAAAGAAAAAATATAAGAGATGAGAGATTAGAGAATAAGAGATACAATAAAAATGAAATTAAAAGAGAGAACAATAACATAAAAATGAGAGATGTAAAGAAAATACAAGGGAAGAGAGATTAGAGAAGAAAAGGCTAGATGTATTTAGCGAATATGATGAGAACAAGGTGTGATACTATTAGAAGATGTTAGAGTGAAGTTGCATGTCTCTTATACATTATAAGGGATACCTTTATGTTGTTTTGTTGCTTGTCTCTTAAGTTTTACTTTGCTTTTAGTCTTATATTTAAGTCTCCTCTTCAATTGTGTATCTTTAAGGATTGAGTTTTGGATATGTATTTTAGCATGCAAAATTTAAACTGTTTGTGTTTGAGTATGAACATTATGCTATAAGTCAATTAGTTAAGCTTTTGAGGAAAAAAACCCATAATTGAGATTGATCTAAGTCATGTCAAAAGCAAATTCTCAAAACATCTTCGATTATTTCAAAATTTGATATTTTGGATGTGTGATTCGAATCACACAATCCCTTGAGTCGAATCAAAAGGAACATGAATTTTTGTAAGCTTGTGAGTCGAATCACAAATGACACAGGATTCAAATCATGTAGTCTGTGAGTCGAATCACAAGTTCAACATGAGTCAAATCATGAAGCTTCCTTCAGTCCCTGCCAAGTTTGAGTCAAATCATATTATATGTTTTACTCAAATAAAAAAATGGATTTCTCTTTAAGTGTTGATCTTGTTTCACATTACTTTTCCACTTGATTGAAATCACCAAGTGTTCATGACTCAAATCAAACAAGGTTTTTTCACTAATTTTTGTGCTTTATCTCCAGCACCTATAAATCATTTTTACTCTTAAACCTTTCACAGTGTTAGAAAACACATTCTTCCATTGAGGATTTAAAAACTCACAACTCACTCGTCCTTTCTTTTGTCAAAAGAGTTTGAATCTTTTGTGAACACTTGCAAACGACTTCTTTCATCTTCTATCTCGTTCTTTTCATTATTACATGGACTCGAATCTTATCTTGGAAGATTTATGATTGATTAAAGTGATTCATTTTGAACTTAACGTTTCTTTAAAGATTTGTTTAAAATTTATGAGGCTTGCAAAATTGTGTGGTGTTATGACTAGTTTTAACAATTTCAATGAAAAAGAAAGAGGTTCTTCTTTCTAGGTTGACCTAGGCAGTATTGTGGGGAAGTCTACATATATGGTATGAGTTATTTTCGATCTTCAGACAGACCAATGCTCAAGATATCGACGAATTGTGTGGAAATTTCCACAGACGAAAACTTATGAGCAGATTTTTGGGGTTGGAAGATTCAAGGAGCAAATTCGAGTAAATATTTCGTGTAACACCCCAAATTTATTGGAATATTTATTTAATTTATTTAAATAGGAATATTCGTATTTTTGGTGATTTGCGGTGGTTGGTATGAAGTATTGAGAATTATGGAGTTTGGGTTATTTATTTAAATAATAGTATATAATATGAGTATATTGGTATTATTATTAATTTAAATATATATATATATATATATATATATATATATATATATATATATATATATATATATATATATATATATATATATATATATATATATATATATATATATATATATATATATATATATATATATATAAATATATATATATATATATATATATATATATATATATATATATATATATATATATATATATATATATATATATATATATATAAATATAAATGAACTAAGGGCAAAATGGACATTGGAGGAGGAGTTTGTGAGGGTGAAATTGGAAAGCCCATTTTAAGGCCCAAAGTTAGGTTTAACAAAAAGGAATTTTGAGGGAATTAAGATTCATTCTTGTTAGACCGTGAAATTGGAAGAAATAGAGGCCAGAGCTCTGAGGAAGAGGATTGAGGCAAAAGCTTCGCAATATTTTTGAGAATCAAAGGAGAAAGGCTTAAAGTTGGCAATTAAAGTATGGGGAGTATTGCCTTCATTGTTTTTAATATGTGATTTTCAATGTATTTAAAAGTTGGTTTAAGGGTTTAAAGGGTTTAAGGCTTATTTTGAGATAAAGGAAATTAGGCCTTCGTGGCCAAAATCTATTATTGAAGTTTTTACCATAGGAATTTGAACCGATGGTCTGATAGGTTTGAGGTCGATTTGAGTTTGAGGGAAAGTAGGCCCTCGTGGCCAACATGTCGGTAAGGTTTCAACCCTGTAGGGTAATTAGATTGTGAGAAAATCTAATGACTGTGGTGTAGTTGTAAGGAAATTATGGGAATTAGAGCATGAATATCATACGAGATTGGCCTAATAAGTCGTAGATTTTGTGCCTTTACCGCCGTAATAACTTAGGAATGATTTAAGGATGTTTTGGGGGTACTAAGGAAGGAAATCGTTGGACTTTTAGGTTGATTTTAGGTTCTGGTGCGTATCAGTGTTTTGCTATAATCGCGTGTTCGCATAGCGAACAAACTCGTCTCAGACTCACACAACGAAGAATCCTTTGCACAACGAATAAACTCGCCCCAGACTTACACAACGAACTTGCTAGCAAACGTAGCAGAGTTTCGCGAATTCTGATTTTGTGTAGTGATGCCTTGATGTTTTGATGTTGTGATTTCTTTAAAGAATTAATATGAGTATGACTGTGATTTCTATGTAATTTGTACATGATTATATGATGATTCTTATGATGTAATGATTGATGAGCCATGATGATATTTCCATGAGTTTTGATGATTCTATGATGACATGAATTATGATGATGATTTTGATGAATGATGATACACCTATGATGTTATTATGAGGATGATTATTGACGTGTGCATCATGCATTCATGTGCATCTGAACTTCGGTTCAGGACCTTGATTTCTTTAGCTTCAGTTCCATTGTGCGGATGTGAAGTATTTTGATGTGCTCCGGTTCTCGAGTAGAATCGATCCTATTGATGGGGATCTATGGATGGTTGATGACCCAGTGTCCATCGAGCTGTGATGATTAGTACCACATGCATGAGTCTTGTTGCATTTTCCTTTATGAGATAATTTGGTTTAATTTATGATATTATGACCTTTGATGTTCCTTGATGATTATGATGATGTTGAATATGAAAATGACGTTATTTTATATATTGATTCCTATATTGATTATTATGAATCGTTTTACTCACCCTGCCTGTTTGAATGTTGCCTCCACATGGATAACATGCAGATGACCAGACTTAGCCGTGGATGCTGTCGAGGATCTTTTTGGAGTTTTGAGTTGTTGGCCATTTTGGTTAACTTATAGGGTCTTGCTCTGATAGTGTAACATCGGGTTGGGGTCTTTGAGTAAAACCATATTTTATTTGATTTTTGTTATTTTGATTATGTTTTCTGTTCTGGCCTGGGCCCTGGGCTGACTACGCGGGCCCAGTCCAATAATGGCCCACCAAGCCTATTCTGCCCGGGCACGAGATCCCCGACAAGCCAAAGAGACCTCCCTGCGGGAAGGCCTACCCCCACGTCGGACTGAAGGCCCCCGTCCAGCAGACATTGCCCTCCACGGGCAGGAACTTCCCCTCCGCGGGGAGAACAACGTGCCACGCGCACGTTCTCCACGTGCCCCCCTCCGCGGGGACACGTCACCACGCAACTGCCCACCTCTAAAAGAGCAGGTCAAACCCACTTCCGGAGATCTCGGGACAGTTGGACTAGGGCGAAGACCACGTCCCGGTCTTCACTACGCCACGTAAGCCCTAGCAGTCACCTGGGTTGGGCCTGGCAATCCAGCCCAACGCAAGTGACCGTTGGCCCAGCGCTGGGGTCTCTCTATAAATACCCTCTTACTCAAGAGGGTCAGGTACACCCCCCTTTCTCTTCCTCATCACCGGTGAACAGGTAGCAGTCCAACAACGTGTGGCCAGCCCGTGATCCCCTTCTGATCAGGTCAGATCAGTGGCGCCGTCTGTGGGAACAGAAACTTCCCCGTCACTCCGAGCAGAAAACTAAAGTTTCACCAGCACTCCACGATCATGGCTAGCCCACACCACGACGATACCATACGCGACTTCGTAATCGACGCCGCCGCCAACGGCAGCAAGCAGATGGAAACGTCACGCCCAGCTTAGACCGACGAGAGAGACGGCTAGGCT